TTCCTCAACACTTGCAGAATGAGGTGTGTCCCAACAAGAACACATATTAACATCACTCAGGAAGCTTTTTAAAACATTACTCAAAATGACTCCAGAGGTTCTATTTCTGGGACAATCAGAGATATTCCTTCCCCCTCCGTTTTTTATTTTATTTTATGAGCTATTCTTTTCTTAATGTTACAATTTTATATTTTTTATCGTTGAAAGCATACTTAGCAAACCATGTTGTTGCTGTTGTTATGTGCTGTCAAGTCGACTCCGACTCATAGTGACCCTCTGTACGACAGCTCTGTACCCTGCTCTCTGCAGAGCAAATTTCATCATTTCTGATACCTACCACCATTACCCCAGTCACTGAGTCAGTCCATCTCATCTAGGGTCATCCTCTCTGGCACTGACCCTCCACCTTTCAAAGCATGATGTCCTTCTCCAGGGACTAGTCCCTCCTTGCAACATGACCAAAATCTGTCAAAGCTTCAGAATCCTTGCTTCCAAATAGCAGTCTGGTCTCATCCTCTCCAGGATGAATCTGTTTGTTCTCCTAGCTGTCCATGGTATATTCAGTATTCTTCTCCAGCACCACAGCTCAAAGGCATTTATTCTTCTGCCATCCCTTCCCTGTCCTGAGCCAGTCTTGCTAATTCTGACACACCAACCCCCATTGCCCCAGTTACTGTATCAATCCATCTCATCCGGGGTCTTCCTCTCCTGCGCTGTCCATCCACCCCTCCGAGCATGATGTCCTTCTCCAAGGACCAATCTCTCCTGGCCACGTGCGTGAGGTGGAGCTTCAAAATCCTAGCCTCCAAGGAGAGACTTGGTTTCATCCTTTCCAGGACAGACCTATTTGTTTTCTTGGTAGTCCATGATATGTTCAAGACTCTTCTCCAGCACCACAACTCAAAGGCATCTCTTCTTCTGTCATCCTTAGTCATTGTCCAACTCTCTTGCCAATTGGCAGCACCACACACTCTTAACACTAGCAGTCCAGGAAATCAAAAGATGACTCGCATTGGGAAAATCTGCTGTCATGGCCCTCCCCAGAGTGCAACGATGTCAGTCTAGATACAAAGGTGTACCTAATCCAGGCCATGGCCTTCTCATAGAGATTAGGGTTTATAACATAATATAATTACAAAATACTGAGAACTATGGCGCAGCTTTGTTGTTGTAGCTTTATTGACTTTTTTTTTTTTTGGCTGGATCGGATACCTTTTCTGAATTGTTTGTCTCTTATTAAAATAAATCCCTGTTCTCTAAGCTTCCTAGCTCAGTTTTTCAGTTGCTGTGTTAGTTTGACCACCAGATGACTTTTCAGAGCAACATAATATTCAAGACAAATAATCTTTTTTAATTTTTATTGTATTATTTTTATGTGTACCATCAAATCAGATCTGACTGATACAGGAGGAGATTGCCCCCTCCTTCTCCAGCAGAGCACCTGGTGGTAGACAAATAATCTTAACTGAATAAGCCAACCTACTGTTTGGCTTTAAAAAAAAGTCTTCAGGGAATATTTTTTTATATAAGGTTATAAAGCTTAAAGATCTTCTTATGGAAACAGTTTCCGGAGTCCATCTGGCTTTAATGACTCCAGAAATTTTGGATCCCATGAGCTTTGGAAATTCTGTTTCTCAATTAGCCCTATTTGATTAGGATTCTACTGTGGGTTCTTTGATAATGTTCCTAATGGCAGCTGGGCACTATTCAGTTCTTCTGATTCATGGAGAAGGAGGCTGTCGTTGAGTTGATGAAGACTGTGACATCATTCATTTTTCTTTCCTAGTCTTGACTATTCTTCTTCCTCTTTTTCTCCAGACTACAAATTTCATGTGTCTTAGGTGGCCACTTGCAAGCTGGTATGATCCCAGGCAGTGAACTAGGTATTAAAATAGAAACACAGTGATATTAGACATTAATTGAAATGTTCTATGAAACCACACTTCTAACAGGCTCAGGTTGTTTTGTTTTTGGGATTTTTTTTCAAATAATAACTAGAATAATGTGGCCACAGCTAAATAGATTAGAGTGGCCATAGCATTGAGGCCCCCCTGGGAAGGAGAAACGGAGAACCGTAGGCTTTGAGGAAATAGCCCGTGCTCCTTCAGGGGGCTCACATCCTAGAAGAGAAAGGAGTTGCCTTATTGGTCACATTGTTCTGTTGACTTTGGAGGCCTCAGTGGTGCAGATGGTTAATGTGCTTGGCTGCTAACTGAAAGGATGTAGGTTCAAGTGCATCAGAAGAAGGGTCTGGCATTCTTTTGTAACATCAGCCGCTGAATACACTAAGAAGTACAACTCTACTTGAAGACACGTGGGTTCGCCAGGAGCTAGTATTGACTTAATGACAACTAGGAGAGGCTTTTAGGGCTTTCAGGGTATGAGCAACCAGTGATGGGGCTCCTCTAGTGTGGATTACAAGAAGGTCATTTTTATTTTAAATGTGATAGGAGACATTTGATCGGTCACATTACATTCTGCCTGATTCTTGCAAGACCTTCGAATCCATAGCCACTTTCTTAATCTTGAACAGATTACCCGGAAATTAGCATCTTCTGACGAGCCTTACCAGGAATATCTGCATGTTCAGAGTTAAAAACAGAAACAAGTGGATAATGTGCAAATCCAGGGAGGAATCATTTGTACTTACATATGCTGCGAACTGTTTCAGAAGCAAACGGTTTTAAATCATGTGGGTCGACGTGTTTTGTTGCTGGTTCATCGCTTACCTGACGGAACTGATTTTTTGCACCAAAATTCATGTGCAAAATAGAAGGAAGCAATTGTGTTTAAAGAGCCAGGCATGCTGGGTGTCCTCCTAGCAGACACGGGTGCGGCCCTTCCCTGTCTTCCCCCTGGGCTCAGGCTGTCGCATGCCTGGCTCAGTTACCCGCAGCACCTTTGCTCATTCTGTGCTGCTTCCTTGGAGCAAACTCTTTTCAAGGGCCCGGTTCCAGCTCACTTCTTCCCTGAGGTTTTCCAAGGCAACCTGTTCCAAAGTGGCATTCCACTTGTTTAAAGCACATGCCATCTTCTGTTTGCTGCACACACACTTGTCTTGGTTTTGCCTGCCTTGTTCTGAGCTGTGGTGTTTCTGACCTGGCAAGTCTCATGTCTTGGTGAAGGACCTGCCTTCGCTTCTCTGGAGACAAAGACCTCGCTTGGTGCTCACTTGAGTTGAACTGAAGGGCAAGGGTGAGCTCTGATGCTGGCTGTAAATGCCCATCATATGAAGACAGAACACTGAGAGATGCGATGCGCGTGGGTTTTTATGTTGGTTGTAGATGGCCATCAGGTGATGACAGACAGTGAAAGGGGCGGGGTCACAGAGAGAGGGAAAGGCAAATTTGGCACATCATGGATTTTTCTTTTGAGTCACTTGAGTTTGTCAGGATCCAGTTTCTATCAAAGCATGGCTACCGAGGTTGACCAGGATGCCTTACAAATACCTTCCTTCTTGGGTTGCAGTATGTACTTGTTATTTGTGTTCTAAAACTTACAGGCTAAGAGGACGAATGAGGTGTCAGGACACCTTTGCTAAGTGCACTGTTTCACCCTAGACAGATCAAATGATCTACATCAGGCACAAATGCATTGAAACCAGAGAGAGGTGGGTTCTGGGTAAGAAACAGGAAGTTGTCAGAGACTGATGGAGAACTGGCCCCTCCCTGTGCTGGGGGTCGTGATGCTGCACTAACCCTTCAGGTGGGAGGCAGATACTTGGTTGTTAGATAACCCTGTCAGTGTGCCAGGCGTGGACACTTCCTGTATGCCGGCAGCTTGGAGACAGTGGTCAAGAATGACATAGGGAAAGGTAGCATGGGATGTGGAGTCCCTGGGTGGTATAGATGGTTAATGTGCTTGACCGCTGACCCTTAGGTCAGAGGGTCAGGTTACCCAGGGTACCTTGGAGGAAAGGCCTGGCTATCTGCTTCTGGACAGGTCACTAGGGAGCACAGCTGTACTCTGATATATGTGGGGTCTCCATGATTCATAGACAACTTGGTGACGCCTGGTGACTAGTGAACGTGGGATGAAGATGGTTTGGCTGTAACAGAGGGTGCTCCTCAAAGCATAAGGGAGGTGTCACGTGGAGAGGCTGGACCCCAAGTCTAGGTCGAGGGTCCAAGTCTCCACTTACATATGTGGGGCCCCACAGAGCTTACTCATCCCTTTCTGCACTCCCAGGCCACCCCAGGCCATTTGCTGCTACTGGGTATTCAGCCAAGAGCAGGGGTCCTGCATTTCCTCTGCCCCCCGTTCCTGTACATGCAGCAGCTGCACCGTGGGCTCTCAGCTCCACTCCATGGTTTATCTGTGCTCTGCACACACTTGTGTTTCTTTTGTCTTCTTTCTCTTGGGCTCTGGAGTGGATTTGAAGACAGAAGCCCAGGCCGTGCTGGCCAAGACATCTTGACATTGTTACTGTGCCACGTCTTTCCTGCCCCTCTCAGCGTTGTTTCTGGATGGAGCATTAGGCTAGGCCCATCCAGCCGTGGAGAGGACAGAGAGGAGAAGAGAGGAAGCAGCATTTTACTGGATTCGAGCCTCCTCAGGGAGCTCTGGTGGCTTAGTGGGAAGGAGTTGTGTCAACTCAAAGGCACGCAGTTTGAATCCACCAGCTGCTTCATGGGAGAATATGGGCAGTCTCCTCCCATACGATTTACTGCCCTTGAAAACCCACTGCAGGGTGAGCTATGGGTCAGTTCCCACTCGATGGTCCGTAACAACAGCCTGAGAGCGTTAGGCCTTGGCCTTCCCTCTGATTTCTGCACACACGGGCCGTGTCAGCCAACCTTCTTGTCCCTGAGCAGCAAGACTGTAAAGTCCCCCCTCCCGGTGTCCCTCGAGAGCAGTGGCCACCGCGGCTGCAGATGGGTGAAGCCGCTGGTCCTGGTGACACTCCAGGATCCGGCCAGGCTGCTGGGTGGAGACACACGGTCCTCACGTCCTTGGGAACAGGCAATGTCACCCACCCTTTCCCCTCTTGTCCCTCACAGAGCGCTGAGCAGATCGCCACACTGTGCAGGAGCTTCGCGGACCCCCCGACGGACGACATGGAGACGCCGCGTGAGAGCAGGGACCCCCCGCCCCGGCCACTGGCCCGCCACCTCTCAGACGCTGACCGGCTCCGCAAGGTCATCCAGGAGCTCGTGGACACGGAGAAGTCCTACGTGAAGGTGAGGGTCCTGCTTGCGTCCCCTCTGCTGGTGGCTCGTGCACTGGCCCCCATCTCTGGGACCCCGAGGGTGGGGCCAAGGGGAGCAGAGAGGCCACAGAGGAAGCAGATCCTCGGCTCTTCCCAGGGCAGCTCTTGGGAGGGAAAGAGGCGTTCCTGCGTCATCTCCTGGAAGGGATCCTTAACTGGGTCCTCAACCGCAGGGTGGTGGTGGGTGTTAGGATGACTCACAGCCACCCTGTGAACAACAAACCCCAACCCTGGCCTTTCCTGTGCCATCCTCACCCTCTCTGATAAGGTAGACCTCATTGCTGCGGTCACTGTGTCAGTCCGTCTCTTTGGGGGTCTTCCTGTCCTTCACTGACCCCCTCCACCTTCCTAAGCATGATCTCCTTCTCCAAGGAATAGCCTCTCCTACAACATGCCCAGAGTTATGTGAGATGAAGCGTTGCCTCCTTACCTCCAGAGAGCACTCTTGGCTGCACTTTCTTCAAAATAATATTTGTTTGTTCTTCTGGTAGTCCATGGGGTATTCCGCTCTCCCCTCTCACACCACCGCTCGGAAGCATCCGTTCTTCTGTCGTCCTTATATATTGTAAGGCTCTCAGATGCCTAGTAAATGATTGGAAAGACCAGTGTTTGTTGTTGTTGTTAAGTGCTGTTGAGGCACAGGCGACTCATAGCGACCCTAGTAATGAAAGTCCTGGACACCTCCTGTATAACTTTCATCCTTTCTCCAGGTTCATAGGGTTTCCAGAGGCAAGCTATCATGGAAGTGGATGCCACTCCTGCTTCCAAGCTTGTTTTAATTGGAGAGCTCCACCAAACACTGTCCATCATGGGTAACCATTCTTGCATTTGACTCATCAGTGTCACAGTGTTTGGCTTCACAGAAACCATGAGTTACCTCTGTACAGCAAGTGGACATGCCAGGGTTACATGACCTAGAAGTATATTACACCAAAACCAATTAAAGGCAGGCCTGAGGGCCACAGAGTAGAGTTGCCCACCTTTGGCTTGGGAGCAATGCTTTCTGCCCACTAGGCCAATTGCGCTCTCTCTCTCTCTCTTTGTTGCTGTTGGTGGTGGTGTTGTTTGGTGCCATGGAGTTGTAGGCGACTCATAGCAACCCTATTAACAAAAGTCCTGGATGCCTCCTGTATAACTTTCATCCTTTCTCCAGGTTCATAGGGTTTCCAGAGGCAAGCTGTCATGGAAGTGGATACCACTCCTGCTTCCAAGCTGAAAAGACCAGTAGGCACAACTTAATCTTCAGGCTGACATCAGTCCTCCTCAATAACTTGGAGATGTCCCTGACAGTGAACTTGTCCTAGTGCAGTATGTCTCCTGGTCTCCTAATTGATGTACCAAGTGTATTGATTGTGGATCCAAGTCAGATGAAGCAGTTGACAGTTTCAGTCTTTTCCCCAGCTGTCATGATGCCGTTGGTCCAGTGCTGAGGAGTCCTTGGTGTCGAGGTGCAGTCCATGTTGTAGAGTGCGTGTTTTCATCTTCTGCAGCAAGTGCTCAAGTCCTCATCTCTGTTAGCTCGTAATGAAGGATTAGGAAGGAGATGATGCAATATTAGGTGGCAGGGAGCTCGGGGAATGGGCACATGGTGGATGACCTCAGACCCTCTGTCCCTGGCCTGCCTGGTGGTCCCATGCAGAGCAGAGGCCATGCCCACTGTGTCCTCGCTGAGGGGCCCCTATCCTTAGAGACTGGCGCCTGTGCCGTGTGAGCACTTAAGTCAGCCCTTCCTCAGAATCACCGGCAGCGCTTTGAGCAGAGATCTCACCGGAACCGGAAGGTAGTTGTTGGGCTGCACTTGGTGGCACCAGAGCCGTCGTATGCTGCCTGTGTTGATTGACAGCAGGTGGTACAGGGCTGAGGACAGTGCAGGGTGTGGCCGTGCGACGTGGACACTGCCACCTCTGATGGCTGCGCTTCCTCTTGGGCGTGTGGTCGCCTGGGGTCAGTGCTGGAACATATGTCCTTCCCTGCAGGGACTCATGGTCTCCCGGGGTGAATGCTGGCACACACCCCCTTCCCTTCAGAACGTGTGGTCACCTGGGGTCAGCACCCACATGATCACCTGGTTCAGTACCAGCACCCACACCCTTCCCTCCAGGACACATGGTAACCTGGGGTCAGCCCCAGCACCCACACCCTTCTCTGTAGGACACGTGGTCACCTGGGGTCAGCACCAGCACACACACCCTTCCTTCCCTGCTTTCTCCATGGACCAGGGTTGAACTCCCTCCTCCTTCCTGATGGGCATCACTTGATGGCATTGCTGCCAGGGAGCTGGGGTCTCGTGGGCGTTCTGGGGACTCCTGGTTTGAGACCTTCTCCTTTTGTCTTTCAGGACTTGAGCTGCCTCTTTGAATTATACTTGGAGCCACTTCAGAACGAGACGTTTCTCACACAGGATGAGGTACGTCCTCACCTCCCTCCCCTTTACTGACCTATCCGTGGTCTCCTTAGGCTTAGGTCTTAAAGACCAGATTCCATCAGCTTGTTCTGACAAAAGGTGCAGTGCGTAAGTGCCCAGCTGCCCGTCGAAAGGTCAGGGGTTTGAACCTGCCAGTGGCTTCGTGGGACAAAACCCTTGGCAGTCGGCACCCACAGATTCCAGCTCAGAGAACCCCATGGGGCAGTTCTAGTCTGTCATGTAAGGTTACTGTGAGTTAGAATTGAGTGAGTGACACACAGAAGTCCCCAGAGAACATCCATGTGGTCAGGGTGTTTGGAGAACCCCAAGCTTGGCCTTTTCTGAAGCCACCTGATTTGGCCTCTGTCCTCCCAGCAGCTGAAAGCTACAGCAAAAGGCAGTTAGGCCCTTCGTGCTGCCGAAGAAGGCGTAACCACGGTAACATCTTAATAAATGATTTTTTCATGTGAAAACAGTAATTAGTTCTACTCTACTTGCTTCCATTTTCCTAGATTTGGAAAGAGGTCAGAACTGTATCTCTGTGGGTGCATCAGTCCTGCGTCTCAGGGTCTACGCGTCTCCCTTAGAAGATGTTCCTCTGCCCGCTGCGGGCAGCGGTCTCAGCGGGACTCATCTGTGGGTCTCCGACTTAGCGTGCTAACCAGCTCCTCCTCCCCGACCCCCTCTCTTCACAGATGGAGTCCCTCTTTGGGAGTTTGCCGGAGATGCTGGAGTTCCAGAAGGTTTTTCTAGAGACGCTGGAGGATGGGATTTCAGCGTCATCCGACTTCAACACGCTGGAAACCCCCTCGCAGTTTCGAGTGAGTGTTTCTGATGTGAGGCAGAAATACATGGGCCCGGTGCAGGATGTCCCCTAGGAAAGAACACCCTTGACTGCTGACAGAGGTGCTCTGATGGTGTGTGGTTAAGGTATTTGGCTGCTAACTGAAAAGGTCAGAGGTTCGAGCCCCCCAGCCGCTCCATGGAAGAAAAATGAGGCCTGTGTATGCAGAGAGTGCAGCTTTGGCAGCCCGATGGGCAGCCCTGCTCTGTCTCAGGGGCAGCAGAAGTTGCAGGCGAATCCACGGCAGAGGGCCGAGTTTGGCTTTTTGACACCTGACGAGATACAGTCAGCAATTCTGGGACGGTGTTTGCGTCTGGCAGGTGGTAAAATGAAGGCTGGCACTTTCTCCACCGTCAGTGCTTCTGATGATGGGCAGTCTGGGTACATGTGGTCTCGTGGTTCTGCCTGGGCCGGCTCCAGTCTTCTGCTTGTCAGCCTGACCCCTCCTGCCGGCACGCCACGTATATAAGAGAGAACTGTGCTGCCTAGGGTGTTCAGTGGCTTACTGATTAGAACCCTGTCAACAGGCTTCTCTGTGGAGTCCCCTCCAGGCGGACTGAACCTCTGATACTAATCACCAGTAGTCAAGTGCCTGACCCACCACCCCACCCAGGGACTGCTCTCTCCCTCGACTTTCCAGAAGGGCATTCTCTTGTGGTGTAGGCATACCCAGTGACACTTACCTCTTCTCCATGGTGCTGAGAAACTGGCAGGAAAACAAGAATCTTAGCTGTATTGGAAGAAACTGTCTTGTTTGGACCCTGCTCTCCAGTGCAAACAAGGACTGAGATAAGGTCCCCCAAGGAAAGGAAGACAGAAGGCAGTAGACAGATGGGAACTAGGAAGGATTCAGGGAGGACTGTTGTCCCCAGACAACTGACAGCTGGCTGTTAGCAGTAAACTGTCCCACTCCTTTACCTCCCGCCCCGTCAAGTGGATTTCTCCAGAACTCTCCTGTCATTTGAGTGCACGTCGTGTTAATAGGGCTTGCTGCCTGTGTGGTATGCATCAAGGAGACACTGTCCACCAAGTAATGGCCAGGCTGAAGAGAGCCGGGGAATGCTCGCCTTCCCTCCTGTGTATGTGGGGACTGTCCTGGGTTTGTTCTGTTAGTGGCATCTCTGCAGTGTTACTGCTGGGATTCCTGGACAAGACACACCGTGATGTCACACACTGTGACGTCACCCAGTCACTCAGCACCTTGTCACGCGAAGTCCATGGGCGTGGTTAACCTGAGCCTGACGTAGTCACTTTCCTTTCTCCTTCTAGAAGCTACTGTTCTCCCTGGGAGGCTCCTTCCTTTATTACGCGGACCACTTCAAACTGTACAGTGGGTTCTGTGCCAACCATATTAAAGTACAGAAGGTTCTCGAACGAGGTAAGCTGCATGTTTGTGCTTTTTATGTTGTTAGGTGCCATCTAGTCTTCTGCTTGGGAAAGACATCATGTACCTTTACGTGGGAAGAGCTTGCAGGCTGGGCCTTCTGTATGTTAAGAGCTGGAGTGAGTCTCTGTTTAACCAGTAGGAAGGAGCTAGAGTGATTTTAACAGCTGACGGTCCGTTCTTGAACTTGAAAGTGGCAGACACGAAAGGAAAAAGTTCATCTCCATTAATTGGAAGCAGTAGACAGAGATGGTGCTTTGACACTGAGTCACTATGCTGTTCAGTTTTATCTGAATTCTTTTTTTTTTATGCATCTCTCCACTTCTTCGCTCCTCCCTGACCTTCCCCTACATCTTGGCTACCCAGCCACCACTATACAAACCACTGCCGCCACTCGCAGAGGTGCTGAAGTAACAGCTTCTCTGGCGGACTCTGAACCATCATACTTAGCCCAGGTCATCACAGGAGCCCTGATTATCTCCCGGCCTTTTCTAACGTCTTACTTCATTCTTCCACTTAGACATTGGTTGCTTCCAGCCCATGTAAACTTGGGGATCGTTCCTACGGCAAACACCTGATTGTGGAGCTTAGAGAGCTGCCTGCACTTTGGCAACTCCCCCCTCTTGTGGGTCAGCTTGTGGGCAGGTTCCTGGCACTGGACTTCCTGTAATGGGTTGGTCAGACTGCCCAGGCCGGGAGATGTTCTCAGAGATTGCTGGCCTTCATGACCCTCAGCTGCAGGGCGATTACACTGAGTCTGTGCTGTAGTTCTGTGACTGTAACGTCAGCCCCATGGTCCCTGTGCCCCTGGAATCCTCTGCATTGAGAATTCTTCAATCACCAAGGGCTTTGTTCAGTCACCAGAGAATCTCTTAATTTGCTGTTGTTAGGTGCTGTTGTGTCAACTTCACCTCACTGTGACCTATATGATGATGTTGTTGTTGTTATGTGCCATAAGGTCATCTGCAACTCATAACAACCCTATGCACAATAGCTCTGAAGCCTGCCCTCGTCTGAGCCAGCCTCACTGACTCCAGCACATCTACCCCCATTACCCCACTTACTGTGTCAGTCCCCCTCATCTGGGGCCTTCCTCTACTGTGTGTCCCTCCACCCTTGCAAGCATGATGTCGTGCTCTGAGGACCAGCCCCTCCTGGCCACGTGCCCAAAGTATATGAGACAGAGCTTCAAACTCCTAGCCTCCAGAGAGAAACTTGCCTTCATCTTCTCCAAGACAGACTTATTTGTTTTCCTGGCAGTCCATGGTATGTTCAAAACTCTTCTCCGGCACCACCGCTCAAAGGCATCAGTTCTTCTTCTGTCATCTTTAGTCATTGTCCAGCTCTCTGATGCAGAGTAAGTAATTGCAAAGACCATGCCTGGGTCAGGCGCACCTTAGTCTCTAGACCCTGTAAACAATAGAACAAAACCCTGCCCAATCCTACCCGTCCTCACAGGCTCTGCTCTGCTTACGGCCACATTGCAGTGACCATACAAGTCCATCTCGTTGAGGGTCTTCCCCTCCCTCTCTCACCCCCTCTGCGTTTCCACCTATGATGTCCTTCTCCAAGGACTTGCCCCTCCTGACCACCTGTGTGAAGTGTCTGCAATGAAGTCCCACCATCCGGGCCCCTAAGGGCCGGAACGCTGTGCTCCTTCCAAGTCAGATTTCCCTTTGAGCAGTCCGTGGCATCATCAGTGCTTCTCACCAACATCCCAGGGGGAAGGCACTGTTTATTCTTTGGTTTTCCTTATCCATCGTCCAGCATTCACATGTTTATGAAACCCTTGATGATGGTGCAGCCTGGGCCCGGCACCTGCTACTCTTTAAAGTGCCGTTGTTAGTACTTTACAAGGTCCTTGGCAGCAGGCTCTACCATTGCTGCGGGGCACTTGACTTCTTCTCTGCTGCGTCCATGGCTGTAAGATCTAAGGAAAAAGGAGAAATCTCAATGGTCTCTCTCATGTGTTTTCTGTCCCTTGGTTTGGGATTCTCATTTCTAGTAGCAGAGAAAAGTAAGAAGCGAGATGGTAATGATACAGGAAAAGACTTTCAGGTCAAGGCCAAGAACACCCTTGGACAAAAATAGCTCCTTCCGGAGCCTCTCTCCGCGTCCGTGACTTCTGCAGCAGACGGTGCCTGATGAAAACATATGGAATCCTATTTAAGTTCATCGGAGTGTTCTCCAGAGATGATCACCAGGCTATCTATATTCTTTTCAGATGTTCCTGAGAAGATATAGCTCTGTGGAAGCATGATTGTCACCCCAGTCATATGTTTCCGGGATAAGAATGACTTAGCCCCCCTGGGCCAGAATTCCTTCCTCATGATTCAGAATGACGTCATTTAGGGATCTCTCCCAGCATGGCTGCCACCTCTCCAGGTGACCGTGGGCCAAGCTGTCTTCCAGGACAGTGGGCGGTTCTCCTGGTCAAGTGGGATTCCAGACCCCCTGGAAGGTAGCGGTTGTCTCCTGCCTCCCCTCACCTGCTTCTTGGGGGCATTGTTGGAAAGCATCCAGAGGGGCCTCTTCAACGAGCTCAGAACCCAGAACCAGAGGCTGGTTTCTCCCCGCTGCATGGAGGGGGCATAGAGGCTTCTCATCACATTGGTGGCATCTCTCTGTATCCACTGATACAGCCGCTCCATGTAGTTTAAATATGTCATTTTAGAATATCCTGGTCTTTGCCCATCACTTGGTGTGCATCTGAGAACTGGACAGTGACTAAGGATGACAGAAGAAGAATTGATGCCTTCGAGCTGTGGTGGTGGTGAAGAGTACGGACTGTCCCATGGACTGCCAGAAGAACAGACAGATGTCTTAGAGAAATTGCAGCCACAGTGCTCCTTGGAGGCAAGGATAGGAAAGCTTCATCTCACAGACTTTGGACATGCTGTGAGGAGAGGTTATTCATTATAGAGGGACATCATTCTTGGGAAGGTGGAGGGACAGTGTTAGAGAGGAGACTTAACCAGGTGGATTGACGCAGTGACTGCAGCAATGGGCTTGAGTGTATCAGAGAGGGTGAGGATGGGCTTCAGAGGGTTGTTCACAGGGTCACTATGAGGCGTACTTGACTCGATGGCACCAATAACAAGACGAAGAGTCAAGTTTGAAAGATGAAGCATTGGAGTTCTTCAAACTGCTAAGACTCTTAGCCTCCGCCTCCCCAGCCCAGTCCTCCTCCTCTGGTAGCTTCCCGCAGAGCTCTGGACCCACTGGCCTTTCCTTCCTGGAGCATCTCTTCTGGGTGGTGCAGAAGATTAGGCGCGTGCCCGCCATGTGCTGCTGAATGAGTCCTTTGTCAGGAGGATCAAGTGTTACATCATCTTCTTGGTCTGAAAAAATTGCCAACTGTGTTCTTGTAAAAGGACCACAAACTAGGGCGTATACTTTGTTCCAAACAGCTGACGTAGCTGGTGGGTCCCCTGGCTTTCTCAGGCTAAATGCACATGGGTTCCCAGTGAACTCAGAGACTGAACAAAGAGATGATCGTCACTCTCCTGGGGGCCCACTCAGTGGTGGTGCTTCTCCTTGGAGATGAGAATGTTTCAGCTTCTGCAGCTGTGGACGTGAGGCCTAGAGGCTACAGCCTCCCAAGCTTAACACTTTTTCCCCTCTGTGATTTTGGTCAAAGTGGACACCACAATTTAGCCTTCCACATAAGAGCTCAGACACATTTTGCTTCGTGATGTTGCCTGCAGTTCCCTCAAGGTAACAGCATTTCCCCCACCTCTTCCCTGTGGTTCCCTTTTCCATGCATCTTTTTTCCCTCTGCTTCCCCCCAAATTGCTGGTCTTGTAGGGTCGATTATTCTGAGGCATTCACTCCTCTGGAGTGTGCTTGTTCACTTTATAGGCCTGACTGTTAACTTTGCTATAAGGAGGTCCCTGGGGAGGGAGGTCCATTGCAGGTTTGAAGGGTGCTTGTAGTGTTAGGGTTCCACCAGTCTCTGTCAGATCAATTCGGAATTCTCTTTTTCCTTTTGCTCCTGTTCTGTTCAGGACCTTCCCTCATTGCTCCTCCATACCCTCTGGGCACCTCTGTGGTCCTGATCCGGGTAGCAGCGGGCACCACCTAGTTCATCTGATCTCAGAGCCGTGAAGGCTTAGGTACACATGCACCTGTAGCTCTCTGGACTGTTGCCTTGAGTCTTTGATTCTCTTCCCTCTTTTCTCCAAGTCACAATAATGTCTTTGTGAAGTCTTATTTTAAACGGGAAATACTTTCTGCTTTAAAATAACCATTAACTGTGTGGAATAACCAAGAACTAATACGAGGCCATTAAAAAATCATTTTTCTCTCTGATCTTTTGTGAGGTGTGGTGGGCCTGTTCTGTGGCTCCATGCCTTGTTAGAAAGTGGACGTGTCGGTCCTGTAACAAGCTCTCTGTTGGGGATGCTCTGTACTGTGTCTTTACAGTCCCTTGGCGAGCTGAGGCCCGTCTGGGGTGCACGAGGACTTCTTCAGTGTCTTTGGAGGCGCCCTGTGCTCATAGCCTCAGCGCATGTTGATATCTGGGTACTAGACCAATTATGGGCTGGGAATTTTAGTAAAAGGAGCCTTGAGGGGGACAGGAGTAGGTTGACAAATAACCTGGCTAGCACCCAGATGAAGTAGAAGTTAACTCATCTAGCCGTGGTGCTCAAAGGCTGTGCTCTGTCTGCTCATAGCAAAAACTGATGAAGCCTTCAAGGCCTTCCTGGATGCCCGGAACCCCACCAAGCAGCACTCGTCCACGCTGGAGTCGTACCTCATCAAGCCCGTGCAGAGGGTACTCAAGTACCCGCTGTTGCTCAGGGAGCTGGTGTCGCTGACGGACCACGAGAGTGAGGAACACTACCACCTGACAGGTGAGGGCATCGGGTGAGGACACGATTGTTACCACCTGACAGGTGAGGGCATCTGAGCACTTCCACCTCTGATAGGTGAGGGCATCAGGTGAGGACACGATTGTTACCACCTGACAGGTGAGGGCATCGGGTGGGGACACATGATTGTTATTAGCTGACAGGTGAGGGCATCCGAGCACTACCACCTGACAGGTGAGGATATCTGATTGTTACCACCTAACAGGTGAGGGCATCTGATTGTACTGCCTGACAGGTGAGGGTGTCAGGTGAGGACATCTGGTTGTTACCATCTGATAAGTGAGGGTGTCAGGTGAGGGCATCTGAGTACTACCTCCTGACAGCTGAGGGCACTGAGTGAGGGTCTCTGATTGTTACCACCTGACAGGTGAGGGTGTCAGGTGAGGACATCTGATTGCTACCATCTGATAGGTGAGGGTGTCAGGTGAGGGCATTTGAACATTACCACCTGACAGGTGCTGGCATTGGGTGAGGGCACCTGAGCACTACCATCTGACAGGTGAGGGCATCAGGTGAGGGCATTTGAGTACTGCCATCTGACAGGTGAGGGCCTCAGACCATCCCTTCTGACAGGTGAAGTCCCACCTCCCATCTGGAGGCTTTCAAACACTGTAATTTATTGTTAACCTGAGATATCATTTTATATATGGCAACAAAACAGAAACCTCAGACCCGTCATTGTTGAGTTTGAAGTGACCCTCCAGCCATTTTCTGAGGCCGTAAATCTCCCGAGATTGCTCGTGGCTCTCCTGCAGACCAGCTGGTGGATTCGAACCTCCAGAGAGGCATCTTTGGGTCAGCACTGAACTGTCTGCAGGCTACAGCTCCGGAGCTCCCTAGAGATGACAGCTAGATGGGAGGAGCTCTGGTAAACAGGGATTGCATTGGATTGGCTCCAGATTTGCTAAAAATTCACCTGCGCTCTTGAATGAAGGTCATGTAAGCGCAGTGATGTAAGGTGAACGACCACAGCCCCTGGGCGGGTAAATGGGCTCCCAGGGTGAAACATCGCAACACCCTCCCTGTAACTGCAGTTTCCTGGGTGGGTTGGGACCCACGCTCAAGTATGTGTGTGTGGCTCCACCTCGTGGACATCTTCTAGCAGAGCACCCTGCCAACCAAAGCAAAGCTTTTCCAAGTTTCAGATATCGTATGAGTTAAGAGAAACTGTTCTTACAGCTTCCTTAAAAAAAAAGTACCTCTTATTATTAATGAGGGAGCTCTGGTGGTCTTAATCCCTCTCCCCCCACCTTGGAGGAGCTGGTGGATTAGAACTGCCTGCGTTCTGGTTGGCAGCACAACTCCCTACCCACTAGGCTACCAGAGCTCCAGTGCTTAGACTGGTGGCCTTGTTCATAAATACCCATGAGCTAGGTCATTGTTTCGTCTCACACACTTAAGGCATGTTGCTAGGAGGGGCTATTCCTTGGAGAGGGACCTCCTGCTTAGAAAGGTGGAGGGTCAGCAGAAGACAGGAAGACCTTCACCCAGGTGGGTGCACACAGTGGGCTCCAGGAAGTGTGAGGGTGATACAGGACAGGGTTCAGATCTGTTGTTCATAGGGTCACTATGAATTGTAATTGATGACACCTAACAATAACAACAATGGGTCATTATAGTTTCCAGCATCACAGCAACCTACACATTATATCAGTACAGCAGGCTGACGCACAAGTGCTGTACAGTAAACAAGCATATCCACACCCAGCAATAAAGCCGATGGCAGTAGGTCTTGATAACTCAAAGGCTGCTCACCTCTCTGAGAGTTCAAATCCGACAGTTGCTCTAGGGGAGAAAAGGTGCTTTACAGCATCTGAAAACCAGCGGAAGCTCAGCCTGGAGTTGGTGCTGGCTGGCTGGGGAGCTGGTTTTTCGTGTATCATTGGAAATACCAGCCAACTTACAATTGGCTGGTGTCATCATTCAGGCACCACTTACAGATGTTCGTGTTTATGGTTTGCTGTTCAAATTACTGTCACATGTAGAAATATAATGAAAAGAAAAGCAATAATAATGAAACGAAAAGAAAAACAGAGATTCAACTTCATTCAGAACTGACTTACTCTGGAGAGATGGGAACAGAGCCCTTCTGTAATCTGAGGACTACTGTGTATAGACTTGTCATCTTAGAAATGACCCACCTAAATGCGCACTGAAACTTGTCAAAACGTAGAGCCCTTCAGTTCGTCGGTGAATAGTTGTTGTTGTGGCTGTTGTTGAGGTGACGACAACTCATAGTCACCCTGTGGACCACCGATCTGAACCATGTCCTGTCCGGCTCCGGCCCCATCATGGCTGATGTCCTTGAGCCCACTGTTGCAGTCCTTGTGTCTGTCAATCTCATTGAACATCAAGGGCCCCTTGAAAAAGGTGTTTCCCGTGGAGCGGTAAGAAAGGAGCATTTGTCCTCCCTGAAGCAGTGCTTCAGGAGGTCCAGGTAAACCAGGGCAAGAACGTCATTGCAGAGAGAAATACTTCTTCATTAATGATCGTATCACAGAATAATGACTTCTGAAGGTGGGTGAGTTAAATGCCTCTTTTCCTATGACAAGCACCAAAGACGGAGAAATTTTTTTATGTTTAAATGAATGATACACATTTAATTAGTATTCAGATGCAGTTACAAGTATCATTTTGCAATACAATCTTTAAAAGACTTCCGCAGCTACCTTCAAATGTCACTGTAATGTGGAATATGGAGAAAAAAGTGTGAAAAATACTAAATTTGGTGGTGACTTAATTTTTTGCTTTTTGACAGTCATTTTGTCCCACTTCTGTTCTTGTGGAACTATTAAACACCACATGTAGAAGCAAAAAAAAAATTGCTCTAGTAATTAGACATTTATGGAGACATGAGTAAGGTCTAATTGGAAAAAAAAAATTGTAGGTCACAGTGCCAGCAGCTGATCCCTAAGGAGGGGTAACAGGTAAGACAAGCCCAGAGGCCAGTCAGTCCTGGCTTTAATTCTGGGCTCATTGAAACTCTGAAAAAATATTTAACCTTTCCAGAAATATTTCCATTTTCCTTCTATAAAGTAGTATTGATCACAGACCCAATTATGGTAGGGATTAAATGACTCCCATCAAGCACTGCTTACAGAATCGCTGTAAATGTTTTCAATGAAAATGTTTTCAGTGAATGCCAGCTGCTATTAATGCCAAGTTTTACCTGCACTCTGCTGGGTTCCAAAAAGAATTTGAGGTGGGAGATAATTTTACTCTTGCTCATTTTAGTTACACTTTCACCTCACCTATCAGCTAGCATGTTACCTGACATTTTGCATTTACACAACAGTGGAAATTACTCGTGTGTTTTGTGCATTAATGATGTTCGTCTGGCAGTTACGAGAACTGAGGTGGGAGGGAGGAAAACGCTGGCTGGGACGTGATGGTCACGGAGATGTGTCAGCTTGGCGGGGCCGTGATTCTCAGTGGTTCAGCAGTCATGTGGTGATGTCATACCACAGTGTGAGGATGACATCATCACGATGCTGGTATGTAATGATGTAGTCATCCTCCATTTTTTATATTGCTGATTTTGCATAACAATCTGGTCTTCGGGACTTGATCATATCCGTAAGTGAGGAGAGAATGGGGTATTATTTATTATCATTTCCATTATTGCTTCAGTAGACAGTTGTGTATTGTTTGAAACACTCAAAGTCATTGCCATGACGTTGAAACTAACTCATACCTGACCCTCCAGGGAGCTTTCAGAGACTATAAATCACATGAGAGGAGATTGTCTATCCTTCTCCCTTGTAGTGTCTCGTAGATTTGAACTGCCTGGCTTTGGGTTAACCACCTTACCCACTCGGCCACCACAGAGCTCCCTAGTTAATTCTGCTGTTCGCAGTGAGTGGTCTTGAATCCTCACTTGAATCCTGGGTCCTTTCATTACTACTGCTGGGTGAGGTTTAAAACAAACCAAGATCGTGACATAAAGGTGGTTTCCGATTTTGCAGAAGCACTAAAGGCAATGGAAAAAGTCGCCAGCCACATCAATGAGATGCAGAAGATATACGAGGATTACGGGACCGTGTTTGACCAGCTGGTCGCAGAGCAGAGTGGAACAGAGAAGGAGGTGGGTGGCCTCTGGGTTCTTGGAGGCTGGGCCGTGTGTCTCCTGGGGGTCTAGGGTATCATTACCCCTGAATGCTGCTGTAACCCAAGTGCTGAGGGTGGGTTCCCTAGTTATATAGTGGTGCAGCAGCAGAAATACCACATAGGGTGTCTGTCATGAGCAGACTTTTCTCACGGTTTAGGAAGTTAGAAATTCAGGGCATGAGCTCAGGGAAGGCGTTCTCTCCCTGCCGCCTCTGGGAAAGGACCTTATTTCTTCTCCGCTCAGGTCCCAGGTCCTTGGTGGGCTTCACGTGGCAGCTCTGCACCCCCTTCTTGCTGTGAAATCTGCTCTTTACAGATCTCAGAGGTGACTGGAGGCAAACACGCCTTACGCTAACATGATTGAATCAACATAGCAAAGAAAGCCCGATTCCCAAATGGCATTCATCCACCCGCTGAGTGTAAGGACTCACAAGGTGTATTTTAGGGGCCAGAATTCCACACATAACCAAAATCTGTTTTTCCCCCAATTCTGGAGGCTTGAGGTCCAGAGCAGGATGTTGGCTGTGCTGACTGCTTCCCTGTCAGTGGCCCAGGTGCTCCTGGGCGACTCTCACAGTGTCACCTGTCTTCGCCACTTTGCACTTGTTCTGTTTTCTGTCTCTGTGACTGAGAAATGATTCGGTTTCGGATCCATCCCTCACTCGGCTGTCCGGCCCTCTAGACTTCCCTGGGTGGGGCTTCCATGCCATTGGATAGCATGACAGGCACGAGTGCAGGGTTTACGGTTCCACCACATATTTAGGGGGGGCCGGCCCCGTAAGGACTCTCCTGGAGGGCAAACACCTGGAGCTGCCTTTTAGGAAATGGTTACAGTGTTGTTGCTGCTGGCTGTTGTTGAGTTGATTGTGACTCGGGGACCCAGTGTGACAGCAAGAACGATCCCCTTGTTTTCTAGGATGTAATCTTCATGGGAGCAGTTCACCCGGCTTCTCCCTTGGTGTTCCTGAGTGAGTTAGAACTACTAACCTTTCAGCTAGGAGCCCAGCTCGTTGTACATGGTCTATCAGTAGGACTCCTTCATGCTTCTTCAAAACCATGTACTTATACATGAACGTGACCGAAAATGGATTACCCTGGCTTTAAAATCTTACCTTATCCCATATAACAATTGTGAACAAGAAAAGTGGAATGGACATTATCGATCGATAGCTCTCCCTTTTCCTCCTTTCCTGTGGGCAGGCGGTAAGACAAGTCTGGGATGGTTAGAATAGAGATGGACGCAAAACAACTAGGAGCCACTGTCTCACCCCAGCAACAGAAGCAAAGCTCAGCAGGGCAGCAAACAACAAATGGTGGTGAGGTTGTGGGGAGACTGGAACCCTTATTCACTTCTGGTGGGAGTGTAAAATGGTACAGCCACTATAGAAGGCAGACTGGCACTTTCTCAAAAAGTTGAAAACAGAAATACCATTTGACCCTAAAGCATTTAGAAATACCCTGAAGAAACCAGAGCCCTGACTCAGATGTATGCATACCCTTGCTTATTGCTGCTTTATTCACAGTAGTAAAGAGATGGAAACAACCCAGGTGCCCGTCAACAAACAAATGGACAGAAAAACTAGAGTATGTTCACACAATGGACTATGAAGCAACACTAAGAAACAATGAACTTGTAAAACATTATACAGTATGGAGGAGCCTGGAGGACATGCTGAGTGAAATCTCTCAGTCACAAAAGGACAAACACTGCAGAAACACTGCTGTTATAAAATAGGACAGACATGGGGAAGAGGTTGGGGAGAGAATGGGGAAAGTGTGGCTAGATAATGAACACTGCAGTAGAACAGATGAGGGGAAGAACTTTCTGAAAGGAATATGTTGTTGTTATGTGCCGTCGAGTCGCCTGTAACGCATAGCTACCCTGCGTACGACAGCCCTAAACCCAGCTCTGTCCTGTGCCGAGGCTATCTTTTTCTCTCTAACACACCTTTCCCCATTACTCCAATCACCGAATCAATCCATTTCATCGAGGGTCTTCCTCTCTTGTATTTTCCCTCCACCCTCCCAAAGCATGACTTCCCTCTCTAAGGACTGGTCTCTCCTTGCAACATGTCCAGAGTATGTCAGACAGAGCTTCAGAATCCTGGCCTCCAAGGAGCAACCTTGGTTTCACCCTTTGTCCAGGTCTTACCTGTTTGTTAGGCATTATAGGAATGAGAACAATCTGGAACAAGGGGTACATTGCGGAGTGTGTGGGGTAAGGAGATGGGAGAAGGAAATGTGCGACAATGAATAATAATAATAAAAGAATAAATACAGAGAACTTGGGGTGGTGGAGAGACCCGAGGTCATATGGACAGTCAGTATGCTCAGTTGTTCACCAGAAGGTTGGAAGTTCAAGGTCACCTAGAGGTGACTTGGAAGACAGTTCAGGTGATGTGCTCGAGAGCCCTGAGGCACCATCCTGTGTGACACATGAGGGGTTATTACAGGTCAAGATCAAGTCCATGTGGCCTTGGGCTATGCTGTCATAGGGGCGGGGGGGGGGGCTGGAGGAAAGAGGGAAAGCAGTGGCATGTGGGGAAAGGCCTGAACTTCTCTTTCATCTGCTTTTCTTTTTAACATCAAGTACTATTACTTTCCTTATAAATTTAAACTAGGTTTAAGTGGAATTTGCCAATTTCTTTATTTCCCTATTCTGCCTGATTGCTGACTCTAGAATCCTGTGACATGCTAGAAGTAACATAGTTTAAGCAGAGAAAGGCCAGAGCTGGAGTTTACGTTTTCGTCATTGTCAGTTTCAAGGATAGTGATTGTTCTTTTTTTGAATGGTTTGTGGATGAGAGGTGTTGAGTTCTGGATCGCATGGTAAATGCCAACAGAGGATCGCTCCTTGGATCAGTGTGGATGCTCTGGGAGAATTAATGTTACAGAAACTGAGTAGGTCACAAAATAGGTCACAAAGCATGGCTCACAAAACAACGGATGCCTTTCCACTGGTGTTCTCCACATAACCTGATGTGTAGCTCGTATGTGCAAAACCTTCTCTATTTTAAGGCCCTATAAAACCCCAGCAGAATGTACTTGCATTTAGTATGACCACATACAGAATCACTATCTACTATGTGCGTCTGACCCGGGATTTCCACCCCTTTATCTGTTCTCACAATGCAGGTAACGGAGCTTTCCATGGGAGAACTTCTGATGCACTCGACAGTCTCCTGGTTGAATCCACTTCTGTCTCTAGGAAAAACCAGGAAAGACCTTGAACTCACAGTGTTTGGTTAGTATTTCGTTCAAAACAATGATAACTTTTAAATGTTGCTTCCTCAGTCAGGAGCTCGGGTGGTGTGGTCTGTAAGGAGCCGCTTTGCTAACCCAGAAGCGGCATCTCTGGTGGTTCGAATCCACTGGATGCGTTGCAGGAGAAAGATGGGTGTTGTCCTCAGCAGCGAGTTTGAGAAGTTGAAGAAAATGTAACCAGAGGCTGAAAGAAAATGAGAAACTTCACAAAGCCTTGAGCCCCGCTAATGCCTATAAAACAAAAATACTGTTAAACCAATAGGGGAAATGAATGTTTACGGAAGGTACAGTTTATAAATTGGAGTAACATTTCAACCGAGGCAGCAAAAATGTTCTATGACAAAAGAACTCTGCAAAATTCTTGGGCTCCATCCTTCTGACACGGCTGTAGAGTGGAAGCCAGAAAAGCACATTTCTATAAAAGCCATTTTACCCTAAAATACAGCTTCCGGTCTGACCTAGATTCTGCTTCTCTGACAGCCCAGTGCCCGAAGCGAAATGGTCTTTACTCGGTCAGCCAGACCACTGTGGGACTTTTAGGGGACTGTGGGAAAGTACTTCTTTCTCATCTCGAGGTTCCGAAAGCATGTCCTGGGGCAATGGAGAGGGTGGGTCACCCCAGCTGCATGGACCCCGGAAGTCTTGATTCCAGGAGACTTTTTCATAAACTCTGCACCTCCCTCCTGGTCTCCAGAAGGGGCTGGAGGAGTTGTGCTGAGGGCGGTGTCTGCCCACCCGGCCTCCCGACTATTTCAGTCCTCACCCTCCACCGCTCATTATCTCCTTCCCCCTCTGCCTCCTGGCCTGGTGGCCGCTGCCAAGCGTTACAGGAACAGATCTCCTGGGGCTATTTTGAAACCCGCTTTTTTTAATAGTTGGCTGACTTTCCCAGTGTAGTAATGCTCACTGAGAACAGGGCAGCGGGGAGAGATGGTGGGGCGCTAACCCTGGCGGCCGGCACGTCACGTCACGTCTTTACCTTTCAGTGAAACGAGACTTTTTTTTTTTTTAAGATGCCAGGATCTTCCTCAGGTAATGGCTTTCACGTAAGCAGGTCCTGCTGCATAATTCAAATAGGAACAGAAGGCAGCCCCACTTATTTACTTATGTGTTTGGCCCAGGGAGATCGTGGAGATTCATAAATTTGAAGAGCTTTGTATTAAAGCATTCAGCTCGGGCTTCCCCTTGGCACAGTTGGTCTGAAATAATGGAGGACTTCTTCTCTTTCCCTTCTTTAGTTTTCAAGAGAGCTGTCATACTGGTTTACAAAGAGAACTGCAAACTGAAAAAGAAATTGGTAAGATAAGAATGCATCATAATTAAAGCTGTGTTTTCACGGCTGCACCGTCCTGTGATTGTTAACCTGAAACCCTACCCCGGATCCACGTGATAGTGTTAATTCCCAGTGTAAATAAACCAATCAGATTCCCAAGGCATTTCTGATTCTCCTCATAAGAGATGTCAGAGAGTTTTCTTTTCTTTTATTAAAAAAAGAAGACCTGACAAATACCCAAGCTGAGGCCTGCACAGAAAAATCAGCTTCTTTATCCCTGCAAATAGCCCACATCTGCTCCCGTTTGGATAGTTTTGGTTTGATTTAAACACCTTTCTATTTTTATTTATTTATTTTTTTTATTTTTGTGTGAGTGTACCGTCAAATCAGATCTGACTGGTACAGGAGGAGATTGTTCCTCCTTTTCCCGGCAGAGCATCTGGTGGATTCGAACCGTGTGCCTCTGGGATTGCAGTTGCAGCTCCTTGCCACTAGGCCACCAGAGCTCCCCTAAATACCTTTCTCTTGACCAAAATAAAAGAGAAAGTAAGTGAGCTCAGCCATGGCCGCTCTAAGTCAGCTGTGTGTGGAGCACCATCCAGAGGAATGTGAAGAAGGTGAGGGCCAGGCTGCCTTCATGCTTAGGGCTTGGAACCTCTCTCCCCCGGCCTTGTCCCTGCCTCCTCCCTGCAGGCCTGTGAGCGCCCTGAGAACTAGGGGTGCACCAGATCCACCCATGCCTCAAACACACACCACTGGGCCCTGCTGGGCACCCAGGGCACCTGACCTCTGCAGCCACTTCCCGTGGTCCAGCTCTCACGTCTTGTGGTGGTTTTCACATTCCAGCCCTCCAATGCCCGGCCTGCGCACGGCTCTGCTGATCTGGACCCGTTTAAGTTTCGCTGGCTCATCCCTATATCGGCGCTTCAAGTCAGGATGGCCAACACGGCAGGTAACTGGCCTGGAGCTGGCCACCAGGTGGAGACTTCCTTGAGTTTGGAGATGGATAAGGAGGGTGATTTGGGGGTAGGGTGGGGAGGGTGTCATTTGATAAATTTTAGAAAATGAGGATCAGAGAGGCTGTTCTGATGCTTTTCCACAGATTTCTGGAGGAACTAAATGCCTGCCCGTCGGACTTTACTCTTCTTTGGGGATTAGCTCTCTGCACTGTTTATTGTCCTTTCTCAACAGTTACCCACATTTTCCATTTTGCCTAATATCCTTGAATCTTGCACACTGGCTGAAAAACAAAGGACCACAATTATTTATCACTATTTTTTTTTAAGAAATTAAGACAATGCAGAACGTCCCTTAAGATTAGGCCATATTGCAAGTGATGTTGTTATGTGCCGTCGAGTCACCTGTGACTCATAGAGACCCTAGGTACAACCACCCTAAACCCTGCCCGATCCTGTGCCAGTCTGTCTGTGACACACCCATCCCGATTACCCCGGTCACTGAATCAATCCATCTCACTGAGGTTCTCCCTCTCCTGCGCTGTCCCTCCCCCCTCCCAAGCATGATGTCCCTCTCCAAGGACTGGTCCCTCCTTGCAACATGTCCAAAGAATGACAGACGAAACTTCAGAATCTTTGCCTCCAAGAAGTTTTGCTAGCAATTGCAAGTGATACAAAAAGAAAAATCTCTGTGTTCTGGGACAGTGCCCGGTGACAGCAGGCACAGGAGGCTGACAGGCAGTCGTCTCCTGGTCCCTGTGCACTTGTGTGCAGTGGGCATGACTCATAGGACATGGCTGGATGGGGCTGACCTCTTTCGCCTGGACATTGAGCGAAGCCCACTGTCCTTCCTGAGGACCGGGCAGGCCTCCCCGGCACTGAGCTCCTCCTGAGCGAGCTGGGATCCAGGGTGAGGAGCGAGCAGGCAGAGGATGGAATGCTTTGGGAACCTCAAAAACTGGTGGCATTTGGTGTTTTGTTCCCATCTGTGAAGGCACAGTGAGCTGCAGCACACGAGGGAATCGGCACTGAGAATATTTCACTTTTAAACAGCAGTCACTGCGTTGTGGGTTTGAACACATTTAGCAGGCATCTTTGGTGGGGCTGTAGACTTATTTTCGTTTTGGCTTCTTTTTTAACACAGGGACTGAAAACAATTCCTTCTGGGAGCTAATCCACACCAAGTCAGAAACAGAAGGCCGGCCGGAAACCACCTTCCAGCTGTGCTGCAGGTGATACGGACGTTCCCAGATGAAAAAGCAGCAGAAAAATGGCTTCTTAGGGAAAGAGTATTTTACTGCCTTGCTGAATTATTATGTCAGGGTCACTGTCCCATCCATACCACAGTGCTGGAAGAAACTTCAGGAACAATCAGTTCTCACCTCCTCCTAAGTGAGGAAACCAGGGGGTGTTGAGTGGGGTGGGTGGCTGGGTGGCTTGCTCTGTGTGGCCCCCATGGGACTGGGACTCTTAGGAGGACAGGCGAGGGGGGACCTGGGGAGGAAGGACAGTCTGGAAACCACTGCTGCTCCTTCCCCCAGTGACTCTGAAAGCAAGACCAACATCGTGAAGGTGATTCGTTCCATCCTGCGGGAGAACTTCCGGCGCCACATCAAGTGCGACTTAGCCCTGGAGAAAGGGTGCAAGGACCGCCTGGTGCCGCTGAAGAACCGGGTTCCTGTTTCAGCCAAACTAGGTGAGTGCTGTGCCGGGCTCGCTCGCTCAGTGAAGCCACCTGAACTTCTCTACAGGGTTAGGGGCTCGTTTTTCTCTTTGAAGATGAAAAACCAAAAATCTTTCTTGCTACACAATCCCCCCCGCCCACCCAGTTCACTTTTTTTTAAAAGAGATTTATTTATTCTAGGAAACTTCTTTAACTTTATTTATGCATTTGTTTGTTTCTTTGCATCTTTTTTTAAAAAAAATTTTTTCGTGGCTACTGTCAAATCAGATCTGACTGGTACAGGAGATTGTCCCTCCTTCTCCAGCAGAGCATCTGGTGGATTCACACCGCTCACCTCCGGAATTGCAGTGAAGCTTCTTGCCACTAGGCCACCAGAGCTTGCTCAGAGTCTACTTTAATATGCATTTCTTTTTCTGTACTCTTGTCATGAACTGGGGGAGAGGGTTGGGCAGCAATGTGCAACAATGAATGAATGGGGGGAAATGAAATGGAAAGAATATGCTGTAAATAATTAGATATGTTGCATTTAAAAAATTATTTTTAAAAAAAAAAGACTATGAGCCTGGTTAACAGGCTAGAAATGGCTTTGTAAATTACAACTGTGTGGGGTTACAACCTGAAAGCCGCATAGGAAGGGTGATGTGAGAAGTGAGTGACCAGCTGATTTCCTTTAAGAGACCCCAAACAATCTCTTGTGCTCAGATGACCTCTTATAACCCTGAACCATCCCAACTCCGCCAAAACCAAACCCAACTCACTTGCCCTTGACTCAGCTGTGACTCAGGGCGACCCCGAGAACGGCGCTGTCGAAGCAGACCTCTGGGTGGGTCTGAACCACCAGACTTTTGGCTAGTAGTCGAATGTGTAACCGGTTGCACAAATCTCTGTCTTATCACTAGCTGCCATAGACATACAGACATAGACTGTACTTGTCATTAATTTGTTTCTTCCACTTAAAATGTCCGTGACATCTAAGCACATTTAACACTTTGATAAATTAAAACCCGGAAAATTAATATACTTGATCTCGTCTGCCTGCTCCAGGTTCGCTTTCCAGATCACGCCGCTCTGACACTTCCTGCACACTTAAAAATGCCACCTGAGATT